TACATGATTTTATTTTTAAAAAAATAAATAAAGGACTTGTAATAAATTCAGTTAAACAACAAGTTATTGAATATTTTAATAATTATGATTTAAATTCACAAGAATTTTATAATTGGTTATTAGATAATAAAAATAGTTCAAATTCTATTTTTATTCTAGGATATTTTGATTATTATGGAATTGAAATAAATAAAAATGAGGAAAGCGCATTTCATTTGTTTATTAATGCATCAGAAAAAAATCATATTTTAGCACAATATTTTGTTGGTGAATGTTATTTTTATGGAAAAGGAACTATGGAAAATGGTAAGTTAGCTATTGAATATTATGAAAAAGCAGTTGATAAAAATTTTACACCTGGACAAGTAAGCCTTGGTTTTTGTTATGAAAAAGAAATAGGTGTTGAAAAGGATTTAAAAAAAGCTTTTTATTGGTATGAAGTAGCTGCAAATAATGGTAGCCTAATGGCAATATATAATCTTGCTGATTGTTATAGAAATGGAATTGGTATTGAAAAAGATTGTAATAAAGCTTTTGAATTGTATAAGCAATCAGCTGAAGGAGGATATTTAGGAGGAATAATAATGCTAGGATATTGTTATGATAATGGTATTGGAACTATAATTGATAAACAAAAGGCATTTGAATTATATCAAAATGCTGCAATTTTAGGAGATGATGTAGCACAATATAATCTTGCTTTAACATATGAAAAAGGAGATGGAATTACAAAAGATATAAATAAAGCAATTTATTGGTATGAAAAATGTGCTAAACAAGGAGATCAAGATGCACAAAATAGCTTAAAGAAACTACAAGAAAACCAATAATTTATAATAGTTTTCCTTGAATTATTAAATTGTAAAAACTTTAAATAATTTATTTACAGAATTACGTACAGTATTTTTTTTTATAAGATTATAAATATAATGCTTTAAAAATATGAAAAATAGATTGTTATAATTTTATCTATTTTATATAATCATTTTTGTGTATGTCATAATATCTTTCTTTTTAAATTAAAATTTCTTTCAAATATTAAAAATTTAAAAATGCAAAAATTTATTGCTTGCATTCTTTCTATTTTATTAAATAAATTATAGGGAAAATCTCAATTGTAAAAAGATAATAAATAAGTAAAACATAAATCTTAAAGCTGAAAATAAAAGAAAGTTACTAGTCAGTTTTCGATATTTTATATACAAAATGATTTTTGAAAAGATCATTTTAGCTTTTCTAACTTTCTCATAAAAAAAAAAAGAATAAATATTTTAATTAAAAGTTTTTAACCTTAATTACAAATATACTTATTACTAACAATTATTTAATGCAATGATTAATTTTAATCGTGTAACATTTCATTTCTAATTTATTTATATTTTAGTATTTTAATCATTCAAAGGCCTTTCTTTCGCAGAATTTAATTCTTCATAATATTGGAGTTCCATACCTAAATTGAATGAGAATTTCAATAATATGGCACATATTAGTTAATTAGTTTAATAATATTCACTTAAATAATTATCCATTTAATTTTTTTCTAAGTTATCATTTATATTGGTGATTTTTTAAACGAAGATAAATTAAATTTTAGCGAAAATAGAATACAAAGCAAAACAATTATAAAGAAGTCATATTCTTCTTAAAGATAATCATGACGAAGGGATTAGAATAAAAAGAAATATATAATTATAAATATAAATTAAATTGCATAATATGAAATTATGTTCTTTGTTCAATTTTTTTTACCTTTAAATAAAAAAGAAAACAATCCAAAGTATGTATTGTATTATTAAGAAATCTTGGAATATTTTTCAGAAATAAACTGAAGAATCTTTATATTCATGTCTATTTACTAATTGGAAAATAATCCGTGATAAATAATGTATTTAATCAGGAGAAAAAAATTACCGAAATTCTTGGAAAGATGACAACTAAAATGTTTTAGTACGAAAACAAAAAATTCTTCAATAATCTCATTAGTATCTCATTATTATTAAAAAATTTTAATAAGGTCAATTATTTTACAAAAATCATTTGATTAATGTTATATATAATTTCTTCAAAAATAATTATAAATTTGTCAAAGGTGTATTTGATATTAATTGTTTACTATTAATTAAAAATAATTAAATAATTAATCAAAGATATCAATTATTTTTATGAAAGATGTTAATTAAATATTTGATATCAAATATACTACATTAAAATCTTTATCATCACCCTAAATAAATTAAAACGGGATAAATTTTGATTGGATAATATTAAATCTGAAACTTCCACTTCGGCTCGGCGGAATTAGTTTCAGTAATACAAACTTAGCGGAAAGTCTGGATACAGTTTAAAAATATATTTACTAATAATAACTGTGATCTATCAGGCTCAGACCCTATAAAAAAAAAATTCTGAAAAAAACTGATCATTTTTATACTAGTTTTTATTCCGAAGAAACTCAGACACGTGATCATTTTTCTGAAAATTTTTTATAGGGAGATGATAATGTGTTTGAAGAAAGAGTTCAAATTATAATGATAATATAAAAAATTTGAGAGAAATAAAATATATACTACCGTCAGACAGACGTTGAATCTAAACTATCGAATATCTTACTGATTCTTTGAACTTATTTGGCATTAATTTAATAATTTGATTACATTAAGATGACGTAATGGGTTACAGTTAGGGATGAAAATCGGTTCGTCGGTTCTAATTCCACATCTGCTCTAATAAAAATATGAGACACAAGTAGAGCATGTGATGATGATCAATCAGAAAAATTTTGATTGGCCTTTAAATGATAGTTGGAGTTGGTGTGTGATTGTCAGATGACCAATTTGAGACGGTTCTTGAAGTCGGTTCGAAGTTCAGAACGGTTTTTATGGTTAAAAGTAGTTTAAAGCTAAAAGAGATCCAGAACCTTTTAAATTTAAGATCGGTTCCAGAATCGACTCGGGTTGACTCAATTTGAACCGATTCCATCCCTAGTTATAGTACATCACCGGGATGAAATTAACAGACGCCATTTTGCTGACTTCCATTTCACATATTCCACCATCATCACCATCTATATATAAACTAAAAAAATACAATGTGTAACCGTAACATTTAGACGAGCATGTATAAATAGTTTAAATAGTTTGAATTGTGTAACTTGAAATCCCATGCTATAGATCCATGTGAATCAGAAATTTTTTTTTGATTATTAATGGTTTAAATTTTTTCATCCTTTTTCAAACCGAAAAATTTGTTTTCTCATTCTTTTCCCGTTTAGGTTTAATTTTTTTTCCCAAACTGAAAAAAATATTTTTTATTATTAAATAATCCTAATGTTTCGGTCTTTTAAGACCGATTTTTTTATATTAATTTTTTTTCGATCTTTTTTTTTAGATCGTATTGTTATTTTTATTAAAAAAATTTTTTTTCACTCTTTTTGGACCGTTTTTTTTCAGGATTTTTTTCGGTACTTATTTTTTTTCAGATTCCTTTTTTTTAAACTGATTTCTTTTTTTATCCTTTTTCTTTCCCCCAATTTTTTTTTAATTTTTTATTATTATTAAATAAAGAAATAAAATATTGTATTAAATATATTTACAAAATTATTATTTTTTAAAAAAAAATAAGTAACATATAGGAAAATTGAGATACGTTAATAGAAAGATGATTAAGGTTTTTTCAATTAAATTGAACGCTGGATAAATAGTTTGATTTTCAAATTCATAAAAATCAAAAAAAAATAACCAAATCCATATCCGAAATACTCTAAATAATCACCAGATTTTTGAATAAAGATTTTAATTCAAATGGTTTAGTTAAATTAATAATTTATCAAGTAAAATGAGTAAAATGAATATCAAAAGGATAATAATAAATAAATGAACAGATTCTAATACATTTAATTCTTCAAATATTTTTCCTAAGTTTGTTATAAATTTAAGATTGACGTAATATAAAATAATAAGAAATAATTATAAAATTTATAATTTAATTAATAAAAATATTTGTGTATTATTTTCATAATATTAAAATTTTTTCGAAAATACTTCTAAAAGTTAATCAACTTTATTGATAATTATTATTTCACAATTCCTTAATTCTACACTCAAACGTCAAATCAGTAATATAAATAGCTACATTATTGTAAATATAATTGGGAATTGCTAAACGTCGCCTGGGCGATTGTCGCCTGGGTTTTTTTTCAAATATGTCACATGATGTACAATATATTAATCGGCTGACGGCTGATTAAAAATTTTATCGCAAAGATCTACTTTAAAAAAAAAAATTTTTGCAAACATATTTATCCAAAATAATCTTATCTAATGATATTTTATTTGCAAATATTAAAATTTAAATCACACATTTACGATTTTAAAGAAAAAAATCAATGTATTTATTTTTTAATGAAGTGATACAAATGAAAGAAAAGTAAATTACAATGATCAAGAAAAAAGATGCCAATAAAAAAATGAAATAACAATGGAGTAATGAGAAGTAATAGAAGATGAAGGGGAGTAAAAAAGAGTAATAAAGTGATAGGAACAAAAAGGAGAAATAGGACATGATGGGAGACGAAAAGGAGTGATAGAAAGATGAAGAGGAGTAATAGGAGAAGAAAAGGAGTGATGGGAGATGAAAAGGAGCGATGAGAAGATGAAGAGGAATAATGATAAGGTGAAGAGGAGTGATGGGAAACGAAAAGGAGTGATGGAAGGCGATGGGAGACAAAAAGAAGTGATGGGAAGATGAAGAGGAGTGATGGGAGACGAAAAGGAGTGATGAGAGACAAAAAGAAATGATGGGAAGTAAACAAGAGAGAATAAGAAATAATGGAAAATGAAAAGATGTAATAGAAAATAATGGGAGACGAAAAGAATGGAATAATGAGAAGTAATAGGAGGTGGAAAATGATGAGAGACAAAAATAAAAAAAATGATTATGATAGAAGGTTGAGTAGCAAAAGATAATGATAGGAAACCAAGTAAAAAAATAAATCATAAAGTAAAAAAGTGAAGTTAGTAAGAAACGAAATATAAGATAGAAACAAAATAAAAAAAATAAAAAACATACCTTTATTAATTATAGAACCGACCCAGTAAATAGTTTTTGTATAAATTTGTACCAAATGGACTCATCCATATATAATTGGCTCTAGATTGGCTTAAATTTGGATTATTTTTTGCATAAATTTGAGCTAATTTCGAGCCGATGAGCCCGTTTGGTATAGATTTATACAAAAACTATTACTGGGCGAAAGAACTAAAAGATCTAAAAAAAATGAAATAAAATTAGTAAAAACGAAATATAAAACAGAAACAAAATAATAAAAAATAAAAAAATAAGAAACGAAATGTAAAGTGAAAAACAACTAAACCTTAATTGCAGAACTGGAAGGACTAAAAGACCTAAAAATAATGAAATAGAGTTAGTAAGAAACAAAGTGTAAGAATGTAAGTTAGAAATAAAAATAAAAAGAAAAAAAGAAAAATACCTCGAGACCGAAAGAACCGAGGAAACGAACCTCGAACCTATGAAAATGAGATTTGATGAACAAATGAATATGACGCGATCATGTGGCCAATCTGGCCAATCAAAAATATTAAATCTGCCGCATGATCGATGTTTACCAATTCCCAATATTTCTAATATTATTATAATTATAATTTAATTATTATTTATTAATTTTTATTAACTAATTATTACCTATATTGAATTCCAATTATAAACAAAAAACTGCTGTAACCATCTTTAATACTAAAATTTTCTATTTAAACAAACTCATTGGTCCGGTTATAATAATTACCTATATGAAAATTTACCTATTCCATTTTACCGAAATAGTCATTTTACCGACATGTAAAATTACATTTCATCAAAAATTTATTAGCTGCGCCTCACTCCTTACTGCGCCTTAATTCAAATTATTTCAAGTTCTGAAATGTAAGATTATATATCAATCTAATTATTCCTTTGTAATCTTTTCTCTATTTTTTTTCAAATATAACAGATAGAATTTAGAAACAAAAAAATTTTATATCATTGAAAATATTCCTTGCTTTCTTATTGGACTTAATATTAATACTGTATTTCACTATGTTGGTCAATCGGTAAAATAGGGACGGAACGTTAAAGATGCCGGTGAAGGCAAAATGACGCCGGTATAATTTTATGTCGGTAAATAGGTGTCGGTGAATACGGACATAATGATAGTAGTTTAAAAGAAATTTATTTACAAAAACTTGAAATTCTCTACTAAATTTAGAGAGAAAAATTTGTATATACAGTATTTATTACAATTTAATAGAAACCGCAAATTAGATTTCAAGGATGCTTAATATTCGTTCTCATATGAATAATGCAACTAATATTGAAATGATAAATAATAATATAACATACAATTGATACATCATTATTACTACAAAATACATATTATCAATCGAATTATATTTTCACACGATTAAAATAACGTGTTCAAATATTGAAGTTCACCGGTTGAAAAATTTTGAAGATTTATTGAAATATTGTTAAAAATTTAAAAAAAACTATCAAATTGATAATATTTTGACCAAAAAAGTTTTACATTTATTAACTATAAAATCATCATCACTCTTTTTTAATTAACATTTATTTAATTGAGAATGAAAATTTCCAATATTAATAATATTAATTAGAAAATTTTTTAATTTATAGAAAAAAATGAAAAGAAAACCATTAGAATTTTTTTCATATTAAATACAAATTATAATTTAAATATTCTAAACAATATAAATGTAATCTTTGTATGATACATTTGATGAATTAGAATATTCTTATTTCATCTTATAGTACATTTTAAAAAGATTCCAATATGTTGTTGGAATGATTATGGTAGGAATCATTTACTCATTTTATTCAAATAACGTAATACTTTATACCGAATAAAAAAATTTGATTTTATCAAGAGAGTTGTATATATCTGAATAACATTCTATAAATAATTATTTGACTTTAAATTATAACAATATTATTAAATGTTGTACCGTAAAAAGAATATATTAAAAGTATTTAATAATTTCAAAATTTCTTGATGACGTCATTACATATGTGAAAAGCACGTGTGACAGGTTAGACCCAAATAACAGGTGACAAATAAGTTTTGGACCACTAAAAAAAATCTCTGTTGTTTTTGAACTCGTGATCAGGTGAAAACATCATCCCTTCCTATTATAGTTGTGATCGACACTAACTGGTCACACATGCAAATGAAAATTACTGCGTACTGTGCATCAACTGACTTTTTTGTTTGGTGGTACGCTTGTACGACTATCATCGGAATATAAAATAGGCATACACAATAAAACTTTACTTTTTCTAACTTCACCGCTAACTTATCATTATTCAATACGTTCGATAATATCAAAATGCAAGAGGATTCATCTCAACTTATTCAAAATTTTGATAAAATAAACATAAAAGAAATTGATCCTATGGTAATATTAAGTAAACAAGAAAATTTTGATTTTAACATTATAGTTGATGAAATAAATGATTTAATTTATAAATTAAATAGTAAAGGAATTGAATGGGAATCAGAAAAACAAGTTATTGAATATTTTTATAATCATAATATAAATTCACAAGAATTTTATAATTGGTTATTGAATAATCAAAATAGTTCAAATTCTATTTTTATTCTTGGATATTTTAATTATTATGGAATCTTAACAAATAAAAATAAAGAGAAAGCATTTAATTTGTTTATTAATAAATTAGAAAAAAATCATATATTGGCACAACATTTTATCGGTCATTGTTATTTTTATGGAAATGGAACTATGAAAAATGATAAATTAGCTTTTGAATATTATGAAAAAGTGGCTAATAAAAATTTAACATATGGCCAATTAAGTCTTGGTTATTGTTATAGAAATGAAATAGGCGTTGAAAAAGATTCAAAAAAGGCTTTTTATTTGTATGAAAAAGCTGCAAATAATGGAAACATAATAGCAATATATAATCTTGGTATCTTATATGAAGATGGAATTGGTACTAAAAAAGATAATAATAAAGCTTTTAAATTGTTTAAGCAATCAGCCGAAGTTGGATATTTAGGTGGAATAATGATGTTAGGATATTGCTATGATTTAGGTATTGGAACTAAAATTGATAAGCAAAAAGCGTTTGAATTATATCAAAATGCTGCAAATTTAGGACATAATATAGCACAAAATAATCTTGCTTTAATGTATGAAGAAGGAGATGGAATTGCAAAAGATATAGATAAAGCAATTTATTGGTATGAAAAATCTGCCAAACAAGGATATGCGTCAGCAAAAAATAATTTAAGTAACCTTCAGAAAAAAATCAATAATTTATAGTAATTTCTCTTTAATTATTAGTGTTTATTTTTCTTTTGCTTTAAACATAAAACAAATAAATTGTTATAACTTTATTATATATTTTTTATAATCATTTTTATATAATTTACTTTTATGTTTAAACATAATTTATGTATATTATAATATCTTTCAAATGTTTTTCAAATATAAAAAATTTAAGAGTATAAAATTTTAATGCTTGTATTCTTTGCTACTTTTAAAAATAAATTATAGGAAATAACTCAATTGTAAAATGATAATAAGTAAGTAAAACATAAATCTTAAAGCTAAAATAAAAGAAAATTCCTAGTCAGTTTTTGGATATTCTATACAAAATGATTTTGATAAAAATCATCCAACCTTTACCATTAAAAAAAAGTAAAGGTGAATAAATTAATCAATTAAAAGTTTTTAACCTTACTTATAACTATACTTATTACTAGCAATTATAAAGATGTTTATAATGTAACAATTTATATATATTTAGTATTTTAATCATTCAAAAGCTTTTCTTTACAGAATATAATTCTTTCATAATATTGGGATTCCATATCTAGATTAAATGAGAAATTCTATAATATAACACATATCGATATTAGCTAATTAGTTTAATAATATTCATTTAAATAATTATCCATTTAAATAGGTGATTTTTAAAGGAAGATAAATTAAATTTTAGTGAAAATAGAATACAAATAGGAATGGCAATGGTCATGGTCATTAACCAGTCATGACCGGTTATAATCGTGACCAATATCAGTTGGTCAAAGGCTTCTGACAACCATTTACAGCTGATTTCATAATGTGCGGAACATTTGGCAAATTTTAAAGAACTCAGAAGTATTCAGTAAAGCTTGATATAAAATAAAAATTATATGCTAGTAATTTTGGAGTACTATCTGAGAATGGTGGTATAATTTTATCTTATTTCAAACTTTACTGAATATTTACGAGTTCTTTAAATTTTGCCAAGTGTCCCGTACATTATGAAATCAGCTGTAACCAACCAGTTTGACTGACTGTTTAACCGACTGTTTAACTGATTAATTAGCCAAATTTATTCACTTAACACTTTTTTTACAAACTTAATTAATAAAAAAAGTTAAATACCATTTTTTTTTGATTAAAATTTGTTAAAAAGAAAGAAGTGATTAGTTAAATGGTTGGTTAAACAGTCAGTTAAATGGTCAGAAAAATGGTCAGCCAAAATAGTTGGTCAGTCAAAGGCCCTTAACTGGTTATGACTGACTTAAGGTTGCCTGCCCAAACCTCTCCAAAATTCTACGATTAGTTTCTCCAAGATTTTACTATAGTTTTATTATAGTTTTGGCAAGGTTTTGGCAGTTTCAGCATTTATAATAAGTTTTGTCAGGTTTCACTTTTCTCCAGAGTTTCGCTAACTTTTTAATAAGACTTTCATATAGTTTTGGCAAAGTTTCACTATTTTGGCATTTCGCCAACTTGCCAAAACCTCCTAGTTTCTCCAGCAACTTTAGACTGACTGATAACTGACCATAACCAACCGTTGCCATCCCTAAATCCAAAGCAAAACAATTATAAAGAAGTCATATTATTCTTAAAGATAATCATGGTGGAGGAATTAGAATAAAAAGAAAATATGTAATTATAAATATAAATTAAATCACATAATATGAAATTATAAATAAGTCACTTTCTTTGTTCAATTTTTTTACTTTTAAATAAAAAAGAAAACCAAAGTATGCATTGTATTATTAAAAAAGTCTTGGAATATTTTTCAGAAATAAACTGAAGAACCTTTATATTCATGTCTATTTACTATTGGGAAAATAATCCATGATAAATAATGTATTTATTCAGAAGAAAAAAATCATTGAAATTCTTGAAAGGATGACAACTAAAATGTTTTAATAAGAAAACAAAAAATTCTTTGATAATCTCATTATTATTAAAAATTTTAATAAGGTCAATTATTTTACAGAAATCATTTAATTAAGGTTTGTAATTTATATTCAAAAATAATAATTAAAAATCAAAGGTGCATTTGATATTAACTGTTTACTGTTAATTAAAAATAATTAATCAAAAATATCAATTATTTTTATAAAAGATGTCGAATATAATACTACGGTGTACCATTTGGACCAAAAGTGACAAAATTATGAAAATCGAAATTTTGAAATTTGAAATTTCAGATTTTTGAAATTTCTTTTTTCGAAATTTCATTTTATGTGAAATTCCCTTAATTGGTATCGATCGTCGTTACACTATTTCCAAAATTAGAAATTTGTGTCATCTAAAGAAAGAAAAAAAATGAACCATTAGAACCATTCATTAAAAAAATAAAGTTAAAAAAAAGAAAAGAAAATCTTACCAGAATTCTGCCCTTCCTCTAC